CGTCATAAAATATCGCAAAGTCACGCTTGACGTCGTGAATATCTATGCAGTATTCAGTGCAGAAAAATAAGATAAAATAATTTTAATAAAAAAAGTAATTCACGTCTATCTGCTTTCAAGTGACCAGTGAATCTTATCATAATAATTCAATGTCAATGAAATGATTGTTAGACATGTTTCTCTTCAGATTAGGTTTTTTTGTACGTCTTATATTAGTGAAAATTCTCGCAAGGGACGTAAAACAACAATCAATCCTTTAGTTTCTCTCTTCCAATTTACTTTCTTTATGTGTTGTTTTCTTACCGTTTCTTTTCTGTTTGTTCTGTTTTGCTTTCTTTTTCGTAGATAAGATGTATCATTAATATTACATTTGACTGTGTTGTTCTTTTCCAGCGTGCTGGCGGAAATTGGTATCCTCTAATTCAAGTAATTTAAGTATATAAAATGTTTTTATTTAGACCATTCAGCAAGGCGCTCAAATCTACCAATTTCTGCCAAATATACCGGCTAAATACAATATATTTTCAGTATATATTGAAACAAAATATTTATTTTAACATGCCACATTTTCAGAGGGGTAAATGGGACGAAAATTTAAAAATTAATTTTATCCGACGTAATCAACGGCCAATTTTTTTGTTTATTTTTGCGACTTTTCAATGAATAGAACATTAATTCTTCTTGTTGGATATGGAAAGAAAAGTAGCGAATAAAAGCATTGTAAGCTGTTGCTTAGGGCTGGGCCATTTCAATCGGGGGGGGGGGGGGGGGGGGGGCTGGCAGATTTTGGAAATAAATAATCTGTCCTCGAAAATGTTGAAAATAAATAAGCTGTCCTCGACTGGGAGAGAAAATAAATAATTTGTCCATGACTAGTTCTAAAGTTCTACCTTAGCAGTATTTAATTTGTGATTTAAACTTGTAAATCTATATATTTTAAAAATGTCCTTTTTAAAAATTAAGTTTAATCTTTTGGTGCAACAGGTGAATTTGCGATTATTTGAAATAATGGCTTCTTTATTAATAAAACAAACTGTTAATTCAAAAACAATCAAAGGAAAAAGGTCAGTTGAACATTGTGTCCATATCGTTTCGCGATACCAAGTGAAAACAAATCAATCGCAATATCTCGGGCCTTTCCGACAAGCCGAAAAACAACCACTTGTTTTTCCAAGCTTGCCGGAAAGGCCCGAGAAGATGCGATTGATAACAAATAATCAAACGTTTTTAATACTTAGAGTGTCGATCATTCGAATCGTACATGTAATAACAAAAGTTATATCTAAGTATTGTATCGACTATACAAATCGTAAAAAACCTTCATTATTTGTGATAAGTTGTTGCTTAAATAATATAACACTAAACTACCAATTCCAACAAAAGTTATTGCTAAATAATGATTTCTTTTTTATTGTGATGTCATAATCAAATGTGCACAAGAAAGTCGCCTAAATCATATAAATTGCGTACCCCGTTTTAACGACGTCAGCAAACCCGCGACCTACGTTAAAACAACCTGCATTACAATGCACATCTGCATTATGTACATGTAAATAAAATCCTTATAAGAGGATTTTCGGTGAAAGGAAAAGAAGATTTCTTTTCACTTTTATCTTAAAAAGTCTCATATTTTTAAACCTCGTTTCAGACAGCAAGAACGCTTAATTTGTTTATAGAAAAGACATACATAGTCAGAAAGGAATTTTTTTGTTATAGGCCATTAGTAAATTTAAAGAGTGGGTTACAACACCCCTTCAAAACTCTCCACTATAGCTACGCTTATACGAATCTCGCATGGTGCTTGATTCTGACACAATACAATACTTTTTTACAATACTTTTTTGTACAGTTCTATATTTTATGCACACGCAACTTCAACTCGCATACTAGACTTTGTTGCAGTTTAAATAGTACATCAAGTTCAGAAAATGATTAAGTTACATTTGACACAATTAAGTTACAATGTGCTAATATTGCCAATCATACTCAGGAAAAAAAATTATGTAAATTATAGACTGAGAAGCTTTTTTTCATAATGCAACATTATGTTTTTTCTATTGGTAATTTTTTTTTACATGTAACTAGAAAGGGGAAAGACGATACTACCGTGTATAAACTGTCAATTTTTGGTATACCAAACACCTCTTGTTTTAAGCAATTTTTTATATAAAAAGCCTCATTTTGTTAAAGACTTTGTTGAGACTAACAACCGACAAAAGACATTGGTAGAGATTTTAAGCTAATCAATTTTTGTGCCCCTGATATCGAAGGTCAGAGGCATGTTGATTTAGTTCTGTGTTATTTTTTCACAAATGTAATCTTTCTATATTTTTATGGAAGAAGTTTGAGACTTTATTCATAAAAAAATCAAAGATATTTACGAGATCGAATTTTCTTATCAATCTTCTATTTTTTTCACGCAAATTTATTTGGGTAGGGTTCCAAAACGTTAACCTTTCTTTATAGCTTCTAAAGAAAAAAAGAAGACTACATTTTTATTTGTTGCACATTATTTTCCCAGAGTAAAATCAAAGAGGATTACAATTATGGAAGCTATACATTTTTATTTATACACCAGGTAAGAAAATGATCTTGATTTTTTTTTTTAAATAATTACAACTTTCGAAACTTATTATATGTGATAAAACAAATCAAAGAATGTACGTACTGTACATGTATTCTTGCTCTAATAGTGATAGAACATTATATATGATAGCCTTGATAGGCTTTCCATTAATGGGTATAAAACATCTTGTATTATTAATGTAAAGTATAGTATAACCTTTAAATTTTGTCATTTAAACTTTAAAGCTTTTAGAAATGAAGATTTCATATCATAAGGCTGCGTGATTTAACCCCTATGTATTTGCCTAACAAGAATTTTCCTACCAAAACCATGCAGGTTTTTTTTTGTATCAAAAAATGACACAGGGTCATTATTCTAGTGGGTCATTTTTCAACAATCCACAAGGAGAAAAATGACCCCAAGACCATAATTTTAAGAAAAAGTGGGTCATTTTTCTACGTAGAATATTCACCAGGGGGACAAATTTCTACGTAGGCAAATGATCCCCGGTCAATATTCTACGAGGGTCACTTTTCGTCGTTACACCGGCTTCACGTGTACCGGGGTATGTCTAACTGAACTTTGTCTAAAATTGGCATATGGGAATCTAAAGACTGCAAGTGCGGCTCTAGAAATCCGACAGCTTTACATCACGTGACCCACAAAGGATATATAAATGAACACAGGTAAGCTACGGGGTTCACTTGTCTGAAAGAAGGCACACAGGAGAAATTGACGAGGGAAAGAGGTGTGTGGATGACCTAAACTTGATGCTTGCCACATTTGATTTAGTAATGTTAGGTAAATATATTGTGTGACATTGTAGGCTTGCCACGACAAAGAAATTGTATTGCGTTGTTACTGTGATGAAAAGTATGACTGAGCCATTCAGGGGCTAACCAAAAAGAGGTCAACATCTCAGAGTCTTGCCTTGTTTACCTTCAATGAGACGGTGTAAGTCGCTGGTAGCAGTGGATGTCTGTTAGTCCTGAATAAGGGAAAACTTTATTATCTGTTGCCGGAGGCTGATCACCTGTTTATTTGGGGCTAATCATCGTGGCATACAATACGCGCCTAAATAAAGCAGTGTTTGTCCGGTGACATTTGAACGCCTAATTCCTTCGTAAATTAATATTGGGTCTCCTACTAGGTGTGATTTTCCTCTAAGAAAGCGAAGGGCTACATGTATATCTGTATATACAATTAATGTATTTGCAAGCCAATCAGTTTATGGGCAAAATCATTTGTTAGTCAAATTAATCCAAACGAACCAGGTTCGACTCCCTTTACATGTTACACGTCTGTAGAACTATAAAAACGTGAAAAAAATACCCAATCTATTAATATCCGACATCCAATCTATTTGCAGTAAATTAATATACTAGTAGAAGAACAGGGAGATTTACCGTAAATTTGTCAATGCACGTCTTGCATTGAGAACTCGACAACCCTACAAAAAAAAAATTCCCGTAAGAAAGTTAGATAACATGAAAAAAATTACGGAAGCCTGTCTGCTATCAAGCAAAGTACATGTAGATTGTGATTACATCCCTTGGGTGGAATCAACTGTGATCGATCAAAGCCGATCATGGAAGTAAGTTTGTCTCACCCATATTTGTTTCAATTCAAATTGATAGTATATAATTCTGCTAAGTAACAGACGCTTAGCTTTAATATTTGATTCTATAATTAACTTGTGGCAGGCAAGTAGGAAGACGTAGTGGGTGGAAGTTTACTTTTATAGGCTTGTCAAGTCCTATTCCGACTGTCCCCCATTTGAAAAATGATGCTTCCTGCCTGAAGGGATTTAAGAATGTCTGCATTTATACACACTCTCTGGAATGCATGGAACAACAGATCTAGATGGTGGTAAACTCATCGTGCAGCCTAAACCTTACTTCTAGAGTAATTTTATGCCGGTAGCTTTTTGGTAGCTGGCATGTTGGCCGGGTCAGATTTTCCATATAGTGTCGTTAAAATGAGCCTTCCTGAAGACGCTTAAGCACATTAATTCATCGGTAATATTTCTATGATTTCTCTCCGAAGCATAACTGTCAACGAACCACTCTCTTCCTGAATTAATTTTACAGATATCATAAGATTTTAGCTTGGCCTCCAAACGACTTATTTAGCACTTTATGATGAGGAACCATCCAATACAGCGAGGAAAATGGATTTCTTACAATTTTTATTTAACGGGTGCTGCATTTAGCGGAAATCAATTAGCTTGTTAGGCTCCTGATAAAATAAATGATCAAGTTTAAAATTAATCTGTCGCTTTATGGGCACTAATAACCAACTATTGCAGGCTTTGTAAAGTAAATGATTGATTATTTTTAATGATGAGCCATTAAAGGAAAGAAGGTCTGTTTAGATGGTATGCTAAATTGATTTCCGTTGTCCTACAAATATGAATAACATAAATTACCGGATATTCCAAGCGCTCTTGTTTATTAGTATACAGGCTCAATACAGATATAAGCTCTGAGCAACAATGTGATCTGTAGCACCAGAGTCTTATCATTAAACTGATTTTCATTAAAACGAAACATAAATGCATTGAAAGTCTTATCATTTAACTGATTTTCATTCAAATATTATATAAATACATTGAAATAAGTTCCTCAATTTGCAGTAAAGTTATATGAATTCTATTCTTGTAAAACAGGATATATAGCGCTAGGAATGTGGATAAATTTTCACCGAGACCATTCTCCGAGGCTCATATCCTATCTGTATGACATGGAACACGTGCACTGGGAGAGGTACTGAGTACATATGAGCGTGCAATCTTCATATCCATTGTCGTAATCTTTCATGATTCCATTCTCCAAAACGCATTTGTCTATGCAATGGTTAAACCGTAACCTGCACTGGGTGCTGCAGATAATATTCTGGATGCCCAAACCATGTGTCTGGCATAGGAAAACAGATAATGACAGCAGAGTAACCAAGACTAATTTATTCTGCAACAGATAAAAGAGAAAATTGATTTAATATAATTATGATACATGTATTTATCTGTTTGAAAAACATGCTATTTCTGTCATCGTCTAATTCAGAAGGCTTTAGAAATATTTTTTATGTTAACCTGGACTAGAATACATTATCAATCAAGAGTGATAAAAATGCCTTATGTTGCTGTCGAAGTAGTATTTATAAGAAAGAGATAAATTAACCCGTCTGTCTGTTTGTCGTTCACCTTTGTCCATTTAAAAGTTTTCAAACCCTAAAATCTTTGGAATGAAATCAGAATTAATAAAGTCAATAAGGTTATTGGGAATAAATAATAGAAATATTAGAATTCTCTGTAAAATTTAGCATCACCAATTTTATCCAAAAATGCATTTTTTATATTAGAAAGAACAGTGACCATCTTTTCTATTATCAAGTCCAATTCTTATCTAAAGCAACATTTAAACAAGAAATGGCAATGTTCTACTTAGTGCATAGGAGGAACTCTGACTTGACTAGCAACTAGAAAGCCTACTATTCACAAATACTTTGAAATTGCAAACTTCACACTGATTTACATTCAGTTTGGGAGTAAAATCTGCATACATGTGAAATTTACACCTGTTAGTAAATAGTGTACGGCTTAGAGTAAAATTTCACCCAAATATTTCACTTGTGGAGACAAGCATGAAATTTGAGACAATTATCTGTCAGATAATACTAGAACTGTTTCTAAAATCATCGTTGGCCATCGCCATTTCCGCCATTTTCAAGATGGCTGCCCACAAACAAAAAGGCGACATTTCTATACTACTTGGACTTACAAACGATCCATTTACTGTAATATTTATCATACTTTGGCTGTTTTGTGATACATTTTGGCTATAACTAAGCTTTGTTAAAGACATCTAAAACATAACATTGTAAAATAAAAGCTGAATGACTTTTCATCAATCAATTCAATTCAGATATACATGCATATATATTTTTTCTATTGTAATTCAGTCAAGATTTGTGTGCACTACTGAAGATGTTAAGAAGAAATTCCAGAACGACACATTTTAGTGTGACATTTATGCACAGATTGCCAAGTAAAAACAGGAAAAGGAAATGGGAAGGTACGATGTATCTGTATGATGCATTTTGGGATGTGAATGCAAAAAACTTTGACCGAATTTCGTGAAATGCAATTGTTATCGGAGGTTCCATATTCCCTCATAAGCAACATGGGAGTCGCAAGATGGGGTTATGAAAACCAGACTGATTTTGTCATGATAAGTCAGAGATGAAAAACGTTGAAAAATGGACACAAATCAAAGAAAAATTTCCAGTCCTACTATAAATTGAATTCAAAGTCTAGATACCACTGTGACAGAAGTCCTAGATAAATGAGTGGGATGAAGGCAAAGACATTTTCCAGAATACAAAGTATTGAAATCCTTACCAAAAAAGATATTGAATTAAATGAAAGAATTGATGTTGCTAAAACAATTGACAGGAAGCTTTGGGAAAAAAGCAATTCAAGGATGCAGAAACAAGATTACAAAGACGTTAGTTCCAAACTAAATATCAGGAGCTTGACAAAGAGGTCGATCATAACTGCAGACAAGAAGAAGAGACTTTATAAATGAGCTTTAGAAAGCTGAGCTGGCAGCCCATAGAGGAGATTTAAAAGATATATAACATCGCATAACATCACAATAACTCTGAAAAAGAGAGGATCTGGTGAAGCCAACCCAGTCAAAAATGTTTATAAAGCTAACAAATAGAGGAACAGCTAAATAAATGAAACAAACATATCAGAGAAGTACTAAATAGATCAAACTCTAGAGGACCAATACAATTTACCTCGAGGAAGTCTTGAATGCAAAAATAGCTGAAAGAAGCGAGAAGGAAGTGACAACAGCTATTAGTGTTAAATCTTATTCAATATGAAAAAAAAAACAGCAGTAGGAATTAACGAAATACTAACTGAGACATTGAGGACAATATATATGATAAGAAAAAGAGGAATAAATGTATAGACTGTTAAATAAAGTATGAAAAGCAGAGAGAATCCCTAATTAGTGGAAGAATGGACTGATTGTATAACTAAACTAGATGCTGTCATGAGACAGTAATACCCGCACTAAGGTGTTTGCCTCTAAATGCACACTCCTTCATATTGGGCTTACCAAGGAAAAAGTCCAAATAATTCTATAATTTACACAGTACATGTATTCGTCAAATCGAGCATAAAATGCTCAGGTGACCATGTGACCCATGAACCTCTTATACGCATTTCATATACTTAATTCATTACCAGTCTGAAATATCAGAATTTAATTAATGTTGTAAATTAGGTTTTAATAAAAAGGGGGGGGGGGGTATAAATTTTTGGCCCATAATTGGAACTTTTTAAATTAAATTTATCTTCTCAACAACAAATAATATTATTTTAGTACAAAGCGTTTTTGATGAATTTATCAAAATGTGCAAACTTTTTTTAGTATTTGATTAGGCAAAAACCTCCTTGAAAAGCCATACCCAATCAATTTATATGTGCCCCCCCCCCCCCCCCAAATACACACACACACAATTTGCCTGTTTTTGGAAATAGGCCTAGATGGCAAAGTTATGTTAAAACATCGTTTGTTATGATAATTTAAAGTTTGTTCTTGTACTGTACATGTATGTGAACACCTTTTTGAAAATTTCTACATCACATTGGGCTTGCGTCACCCTACCAGTACTAGTACTAGTTTTACCATTATCATTTTTAGATTGCACATGCCATGTGACATGGTGCAGTGTTACATGTATATCAGTGGAAATTAATTCATTTTGTGTTTTAATTGGATTATATTTCATGAAGTTGACAGGACCTATGACAGTCGGTAAGTACAAGTTTAAGTATAGATTGGGGTAAAATAAACCAAAATGCAAATGGTTAGGTTAAAGTTTAAAAAGGATCAAAGATCATCGGCAATCTCCTATGCAGAGTTGTCGTTCGTTTCTCTCTCAGACACTGAATGTATGAGCCGATCGTAGAGAGTGGATCATCGATGCCACAATAGACGAATTTCACATTCTGAAGAGTTATCTCCCGTTGTCGAAATTACATTCAGTTACAGGCATAGATCCGGGAATTTTTTTCCGGGGGGGGGGGGGGGGGAGGGGGGTCCACACCTCGGTCCAAAAAAATTCCAGCCCAGAATTTCCTGAGGAGCAAAATAAAAAAAAAACAAACAAACAAACAAAATAAAAACAATGATGGTGGGGTCCATGTTTTTAAAGGGGGAGGGCATCCAAAGTCATTTTTTATTTGCTTCTGTAAATCAGTATATAGTCCTATTTAAATAACTCTGCAAATTCCAGGGGGGGGGGGGGGGGGGGTTCCAATCTCCCTAGCCGCTCCCTGTCCCTGAAATGACAAATGATCATGCGACTCCTAAATAGTAGAAAATTTTTCCATTTGACTAGACATAATTTTGTTTCTTGTGTTATTATGTTATGTACATCTAATGGTTTAAGGTTATGAACCCTTGAGGTCATCCCCACTCTCTTGTTCATAATATGACTACATCAAATTAAATAGAAGTGCATCAATGATAAGATTACTTGACATTTCATTCATGAATTTGGGTCAACCTAGAATTAGGAATGAAAATCATTCAAAGAGATGGACCATTAAACTATTTGTATGTATTCACATTTTTTTTATGTCAAACCAAAGTATTAGACTAGTTTGCATACATGAACAAACTGGGGTCTGGGAAGGGGAAGGGGCAAGGGGAAGGAGTTATCTCTTTACGTCTTAATTAATTGTTGAAAATTCCTAAAATGAATGTTAACCTTAAATCCGACTTGTACGTCTTCATTATTTTTAAGTGGTGGTGTCTCCGTATGAGTGAAAAATTCCCAAGAGGGACATTTAACAACAAACAAACATTAATGACTTAAAAAACACAATATACATGTACATGTTTATTAGTCAATGGATATACTTCTGATCATATCTCTAGTTCTCCCTTGAATCAGAAATGATGATATAAATATTTTAAGAATGATTAAGAGTTGAAAAGGTTGTGCATTTTAAAATTCACTAAGCTCTGTGGTTTAATTAGCTATACCAGTTTAGCTTATTTTGCTACTCAAAGCACCTTGATTAACTATTTTTAATCATACTGTTTTCTGAAATGTGAAGTTTTTTCAACATGGATACAAGTCATACCTTTTCAGCTTCTGAAAACAATTAATGCATGAAAAAAAAACTGCTTTTCAAATACTGTAACTCTTTCCAAGTACTTGTGATCATCAGTTTTTAGCTCACTTGAGTTTTTCTGGTTTTCTGATCACATTTTGTTTGTCATTCATCTGTCCGCCTGTAAACTTTTCACATTTTTGTCTTCTTCACTAGAACCGCCGGGCCAATTTCAACCAACCCAGCCACAAAGCATCTTTGGGTAAAGGGGATTCAAGTTTGTTCAAGTGAAGGGTCACACCCTCTTTCAAGGGGGGATAATCAAGAATTAGTGAAAATTTGGTGGTATCATTTTAAAAAAGTCTTATCAAGAACCACTGACTGGGCCCAAAAAGTTGAAACTTTCTTTACATAGACAGTGTAGCTTCAAATTTGTTAAAATTATGACCCACTGGGGTAGGATGGGGCCACATATGGGGATCCAATGATTTACATAGAAAAATGCAGGGGATTTTTTCCATCATAAATCTTCTTCTCATGAATAGCAAGGGCATTATTGTCGTCCGTTTTCACAAAAGGGACCTAGGGGACATTAAATCTCATTTGTCTGTCAGTCTGTCCGTTTGTCAGTCTGTCCGTCTGTCACAATAAATTTAACCTTGGTCATAACTTCTGAATAATAAGAGATAGGGATTTCATATTTCACATGTACATTACCTACAAGAACTTTCTAAACATACCATGATTTTTGAACCCATGACCTTGACCTTGAAGTTTGACCTACTTTTCAAAAAATTTAACATTATTTCAAATGATCATTTTGAAAGA